GAAAACATTTTAATCTTTATTTTTGAAGGCAATTATCACTAGATGAGAAATTCCAAGTTAGCAGGGGGTTTTTTGTTTGTTTTGTTTTTAGCACTTTAATGTAGTCATTTCATTGTCTTCTGGCTTCTATTATTTCTGTTGATATGTCAAATGTTGCTCCTTTGATGACAATGTTTTTCCCTTCTCCACACCACTGCCTCAAATTGTATATGTTTATATTTTTCTTTCTCTGGTCTAAATAATTAGAGAATAATATTCAAAGCAAACACAGACACCAGAATGTAATGAAAGAATCCCTAAAAGGACAGCCAGAAAAGGGGCATTCTAAATTCTGTCCAGCTAAAGATACATGAACTCATCTAAGCTTATAATATTTCCATTGTCCAGGATACAATTCAAAGTTACTCAACAGAAATAACAATTAACAGAGGTAGACCCTGAGATGACCAAGATGTTAAAATTAGCAAACAAGAATTTTTAAAACAGTTGTCATAACTATTATCAGTAATGTTAAGGAAAATATTATTTAATGAATAAAGGCAGTCTCAGTAGACCAACCAGAAATTTTAGAATAAAATATAATACAATAAAATACAATGAAATTAAGTAGTAAGCCTATCACAAGACAGGTTTAATAGAAAAATGGAGATAAATGAATATAGATCAATAAAATATATCCAATTTAAAGAACAGACTTAAAAAAGTGAATATGGGCTCAATGACCAATAGAACAATATCAAGTAGTCTAAAATGTAATTAGAGACTTAGAAAAACAATTAAGAAACTATAATGACAAAATTTCCCAAAGTCACAAATTTACAGATTCAAGAAGTTCAGCAACCCTAAGCAGAATAAATGTGAAGAACATGCCTAAAAATGTCATTGTCAAACTGCTGAATACCAAAGAGAAAACCTTGAGAACATTCTAAGAATAATAACATGTTATATTTAGGGAAAGGATATTCCAGATTACCAATGACTTTTTATCAGAGAAATTGGAAGCCATAAGGCAGTAGAGTGACATCTTTAAAGTGTGGACCCAAAACATGTCAAACAGAATTCTATAAACAGAAAATCTCCTTAAAAATTAAGACAAAATAAAGACATTTTAAGGTAAAATAAAAGAGGATAGTTCATTACTAGCACACAATCAATACAAAAAAAAAAAAAATACAAAGGAAGCTCATTAGGCTGAAATGAAATCATACCAGATTAAAACTTGAATTTTAAGAAAGGAAGAGCATCAGAAACAGTAAATATCTGGGTAAATATAGGACAGTTTTTCCTCTTACTTTCTTGAAAATATATATGACTATTTAAAACAAAAATTAAAACATTGTTTTGTGGAGTTTAAAGCGTAATGTAGATGTAATACATGTGTCAATTATAGGCAAAGAGATGAAGCTCCAAATTAATACATCTGAATTGAAGTAGTATTAGTTATAACCCAACCTAATGATTTGTTCTCCATAGGGAAAAGCTATACATAGCATACCCTAGCAGGTATAGTCCCAAGGGGGACTAAGCAAAAGCCAGACCTGGGAAAGCAGGGAAACAAATTTAAAAGGATTACTAATATATCCCTTTAATTAGGGAAGTCTGGCTCTAAGTCTGTGGTGAAACCTAAGCCCTTACACAGGAGATTCAAGTGGGAGTAAACGTAGGGACAATAGCATTGTTATTTATGAAAGTCTATGAATCCAAACTAGCAACTGGCATTGCAAACAGCATTAGATCAAAGAACAACAGGTCAAGATTCATGTTAGCACAAATAATTACTTGTATCTGTATTAGTCAGTGATTGCTGCAGTCAGCTACTGGACTGGGGAGGTTCCCAAGATCACCCCCAAGTCCCATGATTCACTAGGAGCAACCACAGGATTCAGCATGTGGCTGTATCACTGGTGTGGTGTATTATAGTACAGTGAAAGGATGTAAAGCACAATTAGCAAAGGTAAAAGGCACTTGAGGTGGAATCCAGGGGAAACCAGGTCAAGCTTCCAAGGGTTCGCTTCCAGGAGCCACACAAGATGCATGTAATTACCCCAGGAACAGGTTGTGACAACACATGTGAAATGTTGCCAAACAGGGAAGCTCTCCTAGCACCCAAGGCTCCTACTGGAAGCTGGTCATGGAGGCAGCCTCTGCCTGGCACCTGCCAAAATTCCAGACTTCCAGAGAGAACACGGGCATTCAGCAGAAAGCATATTATTTGTACAAACAGTTTAGGCATGATGAATCATTCTTATCAGACAATGGTTGCAACCGTCCCCAATTCTAAGTTCCCAGAAGGCAGCCAAGGGCCAGCCTTGCAAGCAAACCTTTTCAGACTGAAGTTTAGGCCTGCTACGTTAACTCTTTTCTGTGCAACTACGTAAGAAACACAATAAAAGTCTCAGGACTTTATAACAATAAACATTAATCTTTCACATTTAGCTCTAGGGCTTGGCTGTGCTAGGCTAGACTTCAGGCTTTGTATTTGGCTCAGGTCTGCCCCGCAAATTTTCATGATTCCGAGAACTATGGCTCCCCGAAGGCATAGTCTTCTCATGCAGGTGGCAGAAATACAAGAGAGCAAGCTCAATCATGCAAACAATTTTAAGGTGTCTGCTTACATCACACCTCTTAATATTCCATTAGGCCAAAGTGAGTCATATAGCTCAAACCAACATTTCCTTCATCTACTATAATAGGGAGAGCTGCAAAATCATGTGGCAAGGGTTGTGAAGGTATAATCCCTCACCAGGAGGGATTAAAGATTTGGGAAAATAATGCAATCTGCCCCAGTACCCTAAGGGCCCTACCAAACTAGAGGGCAAATGAGGTTGGAAGCATCACCTTTGCACCTATGAAAATGGTATTTCTTATTCTTATGTGCTCATTTGTTTATGCCAACACCTATACCCTAAGAAGCCTTGAAGCAGGCAGGAAAAATCATGCAATTTTAGTAATATTATACACAAGTTCTTTAGCAATATAATAATAAAAGTCAAATTAACATTAATCTGTGCTTACCATATGTCAAGAGTGTTACATGAAAGATTTCATTTAGTCCTTGGTTGATGCCATTAATCCCATTTTTACAGATAAAAAAAAAAACACAAAACAAAACAAAACAAAACAAAACCAGAGGTCTAGAGACCTGCCCAAGGTCATAAAGCTTGTAAGTGGTGAAGCCAGGATTTGAATCCAGGCAGCCTAGATCCCGGGCTTGTGCTTTTAAATATCAGGATACATTAAGTACAGCACTTGGGCATATATAACAGATGGCAATGCTTCAATATCTGAGAACAAAAATGTTGCCAAGTTGTGAAAGCACCATCACATCTGCACATGACTGACATGGGCTCTGAGAGCTAAGACTTAATTTGTAAATAAGAGAAAATTTTTATCTTAACTAAAATATGGAAACCTGACTTTTTTTCTCATAGAAACATATCGATATAGAATAACTCAACTGTTTGATTTCAATGTTTTTAGATTCAAATACTTCATGTCTTCGAAGAGCTACTCTATCCTTTCTACTTCCTAGACCAGGTAAAGTATTTGCTACAGATACTATCTCCTATGGTGTTTTCAGACAAGAAAAATGATAACATTCTCTCTAAACAAATATATTTGACTGCATTCAGCAAATAATTTAACAACTAAGAAGTATGTCCTTTTATGAAGCAAGAATTCTGTAACGAAAACATAGTACTTCTAACACAGTGGTTGGCAAACTCATTAATCAACAGAGCCAAATATCAACAGTACAATAATTGAAATTTCTTTTGAGAGCCAAATTTTTTAAACTTAAACTTCTCCTAATGCCACTTCTTCAAAATAGACAAACCCAGGCCGTGGTATTTTGTGAAGAGCCACACTCAAGGGGCCAAAGAGCTGCATGTGGCTCGCGAGCCGCAGTTTGCTGACCACGGTTCTAACCCATCCAGAGTTTCTGGTCCCTCCTTCTGTGATTAGGGATAGTTGCATGTTCATTGCAAACATTGGTTCCTCTTAAATTGTTTTCTAAGCTTAATAAACAATGAGAGCATAATACTATTTATCAGAAATCACTAAGGACCTAATGTTAAAAGGCATGCTCCTGCAAGGAGCAGTGGTTTGCCAAGTATCTCATTTGAATTTGTGTAATGCTGTTGCAGGAGTTAAAATCTTGAGTCTTCCTGAGAGAGCAGATTAAGGACCCACTGTAGGGAGTTCAGAGGGTTACTGATAACACAAAACATGATCTAGACATACTCAGCTTGGAAAACACAAGATACACATGAGAGAATACATCTGTCCTCAATGAATACCATTACCTAACATAGGCTAAAAGTTAGAAATGAAAAGGAAAACAGAAAGGATATTACCAAAGGCCAATTACTTGGAAACAAGTTTAAGAAAGTGAGGTCTGAACCTGGGCAGTGCGGAGGGGACTGCATCCTTCCACAAGGCCGGCGTATAAGACGACTTTTGAAACAAAAAAAAATCAACCGAAAATCGGGGGCAAAAGACCAAAATTGCACAAAAATTACCTGCAGATCTTGATGGCAAAGTAAGTCTTTTCTTTGAAGTGGGGGGTAGTCTTATACAGTGAATATAGGCTTAAACCTATGTTTTAACTGTAAAATTAGGGGGTCGTCTTATACGGAAAATTCGGTACCACCTGATTCTGTTTGTGTCTAAAATTGCCTGCGCCGGTTTTCATGCTACAACATCAGAGTTGAGAAGTTGTGACAGAGACTCTCCTGGCTCCCACCGCTAAAGCATTTATTTCTCTGCCTTTGCAGATCCTGCCCTATATAATCAGAAATCTGAAAATAAACATTTTGGCCACATTGCTAAATCATGATAGTTTCAAATAAGAACTTTACTTGCTTTATCATGTAGGGCCTTCATTGCAAACCAACAACAAAAAGGACAGAGTTGGAGAAATGAAACAACTGTTCTTCCAGAGCCAAATATCAACAGTACAATAACTGAAATTTCTTGTTGGTTTTGTTGGTTCTTCCTACCTGTTTTACCTCCTCTTCTTCTGAAGCACTAGAGACAGCCTGGACATCTTTGCTGGGTATGTTGAGCAGGTAACCTTCCAACTTTTCTTGATTGGACAGCATGTTCTTTGGATCTTCTGTGCTTTCCTCATCACTGTCTGGAATATTTTTCCATTCTTTCATCATTTCTAACACATTGGTAGGTCTCATCGAAGAAAGTCTATTGCCCTAATGTTAACAATGGTTTTTGGTGTTATAAACAGTTTTGGAAAATTCAAAGAAGTCTTAATCTTTTAGTAATATATTCTCCTAGATTCTGTAAGTCACATAGAAAAACTATAATGCTGAATAAATGACAAAACTGGTTATACCTGTTGGAGCACCCTCCCTGTGTGAAAAGACATGACAGGGCAACTCTCTGGACTCAAACACCTCCTGACAGCCCATCCTTACAGTAAAGGGAAGCTAAAAGGATGAAAGAAGTTCCTCAAGGTCTAGTGAGTCCAAATCTAGGGATAAGCCTATAGAATACCAAAATGTCCAGGTAAAAAAAATCTAACATCAGTCGATTAGGCAAGTCCTGTGTCCAAGAATATAGATGTTTGATTTGAAAGCTCTTAATTGACTGGGAGATTTAAATATAAGGTGGTCAGCTGATTTATAATTGATTCAGTGCATTGTTTTTATCCCAGATGTGACAACACAATACCAAAATTGACTACTTTAAATTACCCAGTTTTTCTCAAATATAATATTCTATTTAATGCCAAGAAATCCATGCATGCAGTCTCAAACGCTTCTGTTAGACTAGGTATCTCCTTGTCTCCCAGTGAACTTCTCAACAAAGATGGAAGTGCAGTAAAGAAGTTAAAGGTGATGATGTGCTGGGAGTGAAACCCAAACCAAGTGCAAATGGAGTAACAGAAGAATTGCCGACCATGGGGACAATGACACTGCACCGTTTGAGAGAACCAGATAGGCAACCAAAGGAACTTAGTGAAGGCAACTTATCAGCATAAATGGGAAAGTGGTTGTGACAGAAAGGATGAATTTGCCTCAGAGAAAGAATTTTCAGAGATATTTCTAAACACTGAAAGCACAAAAGATAAAATGTTAGAAGTTGAACCAAACTTAGAAAACAGTATGACAATTTGCCAAGGCATAAAAAAGATGCTCCCCTCTGTACTGTAAGTTTTATGACAAGAGGCAAGCACTGCTTAAGCTAATCTTGATAAGTTGTGTTTTTTTTTACCAAAAATTAAGATTCTTTAATTCTCAATATTTCTAATGTTTTAAATTAAAACATCAACATGAAGGACAAAGATTTGCTGCTTCCTGGATGCACCCCGACAGGGATAGAACTCACAACCTAGGTATGTTCCTTGATTCGGAATCAGACCTACAACTTTTCAGGGTACAGGACGACACTCCAACCAACTGAGCCGCATTGGCCAGGGCTACCAGGACATTTATTTGTACCACTGTTTGTAATAGGAAAGATATGAAACAATTTAAATGATCTACTGGTATATTCACTGGGGATTATTTAAAAAAATAATACAATGCTGGGTGTTTTTTTTAATAAGAAAATCTTCCCAAGATATATTAGATAAAAAAGAATAATTTGCATAATATGAATCCATTTGGGTAAAGTACATACACAAAATGAGCAGGATGTTTTTGAAAGAACACATAAGAGATTTAACAGCAGTTACCTTTAGTAAGAGGGAATGAAGTTAATGGAAGGAGAAAGTTATTTTTTCTGTTTTATTTACCATTTAAATAATTTACCATGGTTAATTTAAACTATTTTATATGACTAATAATTAATGTAAATTACAGTAGGAAAAGAAATAATGTAAGCTGTAGATACCTGCAAAGAACTGATAGCACCCAATAAAATCACCAAACACGCCCTAATGGGTCTCAATGAGGCCAAGGCAACAGCATATCAAGGTAATAACAACCACTAAAGTAAGCAATTGTATGCCACTTTAACATTTTTCAAGTCATTGATATCCTCCAAAAATATAGCAACTACACAAGTAGACAGGTAGGTGTTGATATTCCTATTCTTCAGGAGGGAACAGCCTGAGAAATTTAGTAATTTGCCATTATTCCAAAAGCACATTTTCAATTGCCTGTTAAGAACTTCTAGATGGAGGTGTTGCTGAGCCTTCAATACTGTATGGCATGTCTACGTTGCTCAGAGAGTGTATCTTAAAAGTTCTCATTGCCAGAAAAAAAACCCTGTAACTGTTATATGACAGAAGTATTAACTAAACTGATTATGGTAATCATTCCCTAATAAATATATTTATCAAGTCATTATTTTGTACGCCTTAAATTTTACAATGTTATATGTCAATTACATTTTAATAATACTGGAAAAATAAAAGGCAACTCAATATATTCCAAACAAAAACTCCTCAAATTGGTGTGTGGGAGCATCTGGCTGCAAATGGAGATGTTCCGAGGACCATCTAGGAAGTACAGTTTGCAGGGATCAATTCCAAGACCCTGCATTTCCAATGATCTGTTCCTTTCCAAAAGTCATCTGCTTGGGTGAGGATTTGCAGTAATCCTTTCCTTGCTCTTTTAAGTCAGTATCTTCCAATGCTTGTGAATGCACATATGTTTGTGTGTGACAGAAGGCCTATATCTAGACGATGCAACAAATCTCTACAAATCAAGAAGTAAAAGACATAAAACCAAACAGAAAAATGGGGGAAATACTAGAACAGCCATTTTGCAAAAGAGGATATAAAAAAGGCCAATTAGCATAATTAAAGGTGACTGGTTTAATTTGTAACCCATGAAATGCAGACTAAAAATCACAGAGAGATGCCCTTGCATATCTACCGGAGTGTCTCAATTAAAATACTGACAAGAGGCTCTGAGAAGATGCAAAGCAGAACTAGAACTCTGGCACATTGCTGTGAGTGAGCTACAAACTTTGGAAAAGAGAAAAAAGGAACTTCTGGGTTGAGGGAGACAAAGGAGAAAATTCATGTAAACTCAACTACGATCCTGGGACTTCAGTGTCTTTCAGTAGCAACACACTGTCAAAACAAGTGAGATATAAAGTCCTCTCTATGTAAGCTCAGGTCCACAGAAAACAGCTCTGCCTGTGTTCCCACTGAGTTTCCCACAACTCCCCTACATGTCTTCCAGGTTCTGGAAAAGCAGAACTGCCAATAAACTTCATATTTTCAGCCCGGCCTGTGCCCTCTCGCAATCTGGGACTCCTCAGGGGATATTGGACCTAAACCACCAGCAGTCAGACATCTCTCTTCACAATCCAGGACGCTGCATGCACCAATGACCATGCTTTTCATACAGGTGAGAGGCATCTGGCTGTTGTATGGGCAGCTGCATTTTTTGCCCTGATTATAAAAAGTAGCACATAACATGATCCTTCTAAGGCAGTGGCACCATTTCCCCCTTCTTATGGGTGGAAAAACTGAAGCAGAGAAGTTAAGTAATTGGCTTTGTCACATAGTTATGTGTCAGAATCAGGGCTGACCACAAAATGTGCAAGCCAGAGTCCATGCATGTCATCGCTGTATCACCCTGTTTTTCCAGAGTTAGAGTAGCTCTGCCAGGTTTTAATTTTTAAATCTAAGAGACTGTTCCCCACAGAGAGGGCAGGGTCCCCAGGCCCGGTCAGCAATCACAGCCATCTGAGGGGCAGGGCGATTGGGGGCCGTGTTGGCACCCGCCTTGGTTGGCAGCCTGGCACTGCCTGCTGGCTGGCCCCGCCCCCGATTGCCACCGCCAGTCGTGTCCCTCTCGTGGAATAGATGCGCAGACGCTCAATGCAGTGGTGGTCAGTGCGCATCACAGTGTCCGGTCGTTCTGCCATTCGATAGATTTGCATATTAGGGTTTTATTACATAGGATAATTCAGAATTTAAGAATAACTAAGTATAGTAAAATAAAAGTTGAGTATTAACATATTTAGGATAAAAATATATAGTAGGAAATCATATCCATCAATTAGTTACACATCAGAAATTTTCCATTTGCTTACATAGCATATACACTGAGTGGCCAGATTATTATGACCACCTGACGTTTGTAGGCAAATTAGCTATACACTGCATCGTATGAGATATGGAAGCTGAAGGCCTGTTCTAACACCCCACAAGCATGAGTACAATCCGTCAAGCTGGTGGGGGCAGTGTTATGATTTGGGGCATGTTTTCCTGGCATGATTTGGGCCCTTTAATTCATGTGGAACAATGTCTGAATAGCACAACATACCTAAGTATCACTGCTGATCAAGTTCATCCTATCATGTTGATGTTGCATCCCAATGGAGATGGCTTCTTCCAACAAGACAATGCGCCATGCCATGGTGCTCATATTGTGCAGGAGTGGTTTTAAGAACATGAGGGAAACTTTACCTTGCTTAGGTGGCCCCCACAATCACCAGATCTCAATCCAATTGAGCATTTGTGGGACGAAGTTAAAAGAGCCATCAGGCAGCTGGTTCCACAACCATCAGATCTCACAGAACTGGACAGTGCTATTCATCCGACATGGTGTCAGATTCCTTGAATCACCTTTTAACATCTTGTGGAGTCAATGCTAAGAAGAATCGCCTCAGTATTGAAGGCAAAAGGTGGCCCAACAAAATACTAATGGGGTGGTCATAATAACCTTGCCATTCAGTGTATATGTTAAGGCTAAAGTTCAAAAGCTAATGACCAAATCATGAATAACAATTTTAAAATCAATGAACAAGGGCCTTGTTCACATATTAGGAAAGATTATTCTAAAGTTTAGATCCTCTACACCCTGAGAACATGTGCCTTTGCAAAGTGTGACTATAAAGCAAAGAACCCTGTAATTTGAGGGAGACTATTTTATTCATCTTTGTACCCCTATAGTGCCCGACAGATTAAAATAAAAAGATACCTGTTAAAATCAACATAGACATTTAAATGACTCTTGTCCCATTTAAAATAAGCCATCTTGGAAGGCTTATACACTATAACAATAATTTCATTTCAAAGAACCTACAATTGGTCTCCACTATATATGTATGACTGGAAGTTAAAATTCTAGTCTTGAGATTCAAGTCCCCACACAATTTTCTTTCCTTTTCTAAAAGTCTCATTTCCCACTTCTTTCCTTCAAGCATCTTATCTGCTTGTCAAATTGAATTCCTGATTTCATACTTGCTTGTCTTTGTACCTCTGGTCATTTGGCAATTTCTTATGTCATTTATCATTTCTCCCTTGCATTGTATCTTATACATAACTTGTTTCCCTTACTAGATTGTGAGTTTCTATGTCAGAGATCATGTCCTACATGTCTATAACAACATTCTATTGCCTAGCACAGCAACTGGCACATGGTAGGCATCAAAAATAATCTGTTGAAGGAATTACTGTCTGAAAAAATAGAGCTCAAATCTGGAAACTACCGTATTTTTCGGACCATAAGACGCTCCGGACCATAAGACGCACCAGTTTTTAGAGAAGGGAAATGAAGAAAAAAAGATTCTGAAACAAATAGTGTCCTAAAATATTTTATGTGCATTAAAACCCAACATCACAGTCATAAACACATGTAATCAACCCTGTAAAGTAAACAGCAGCATTTAGAACCATTTTAGAGCCGGGCAAGCACACAGAGACCACACAGAGCCGGGCAAGTAAAAAAACTTTTTTTTTAAAGTATATGTGTAGGCTATATTTGGACCATAAGACGCAGGGACTTTTCCCCCCCACTTCTGGGGGGAAAAAAGTGCGTTTTATGGTCCGAAAAATATGGTACTTCTTGACAAGATATAGAAGAAAACTGTTTCCTTAATCTACAGGAGGGTTCTTAAATATAAGTAGGCATTAAAAATACCTAGGAAAGCCCTAGCTGATTTGGCTCAGTGAATACAGTGTTAGCCTGTGGACGGAAGGGTCCTGGGTTTGATTCTAGTCAAGGGCCCATGCCCGGGTTGCAGGCTCAATCACCAGTAGAGGGTGTGAAGAAGGCAGCTGATCAATGATTCTCTCTCATCATTGATGTTTCTATCTCTAATCTCTCTCTCTCCCCCGCTCTCTGAAATCAATAAAAATATATATTCTTAAAAACAAACAAACAAACAAACAAACAAATAAATAAATAAATAAAAATATCTGGAAATCTTGTTTAAAATTCTTAGTGCTAGCTGTCACCAGGGGACTTAAAGGAATACCAAGAGGCACCTATAATTTATAATAATAAAAGTGTAATATGCTAATTAGACTAGACAGCTGAGCAACCTTCCAGACATTCTGGATGTCCTTTCAGACGACCTTCCAGACAAAGCCACAGTGGCAGGGGCTAAGGCAGAGTCAGTTAGGGATGATCAGGCAGGCAGGCAGAGTGGTTAGGGGCAAACAGGCATGTAGGCAAAGGGTTTAGGGGTGATGAAGCAGACAGGCAGAGTGGTTAGGGGTGATCAGGCAGGCAGGCAGGTGAGGGGTTAGGAGCCAGCAGTCCCAGATTGTAAGAGGGATATCTGACTGCCAGTTTAGGTCCCAGCAGTCGGACATCCCCCAAGGTGTCCTGGATTGCAAGAGAGGGCAGGCCAGGCTGAGGGACTCCTGCCCCAGTGCACGAATTTCATGCACCAGGCCTCTAGTTATCTAATAAGAGGGAACACACTCCTGAACCACTGTTGAGAGTAAGGAGGACAAAGGGAAGAAGCAGATGCAGGAGGGTGACAGGCACACTCCTGGCCAGGCCAGTTATCATCAAACTCTTCCTTTGTAGGAAAGTCATCCCCTGGCATTTTTGCTTACATCTAGTCTTTCGATTTTTGAAATCAGAATGACAATATGTGTTTATTTTAAGTTCCATTCACTTAAAGGTACAGAGAGAAACAACGTTCCTTGGAATACTCTTCAGATATGTTCCATACTTCAAAACGGACAATACATAAGTTAAACCCTAGAAACTTTTTATCTGATAAAGCTCTTTGAAAAGAAAAAGTTTCAATGTGTTAGATATTGCAAAAGATAAGCTCCAGTTATAAAGCAGCAAGGCACTGAGAGAACTGACAGGTTCCTTTTAGATTATTTCAAACACAGGATATGAATTACAGGAAGTAAGACTTCAAGTGGTTAAGAAGAAAAGAGTGTTGCCTTTTAGAAGTTTATAAAATGCTGGAATTCTAAACTTCAGACACTGAACTCCTTAGGATAGTCCGATATAGTACACACTATCTGTCGCTTCCCTAACCACTTGGCAAAGACTACATTGGAACAAATGTTACAGAGGCTCAAAAATGGAGACTTCTGGAAAAATGACCAAAGCCAGAAATAAAGCTGTACTAATTAGAACACAAATAATTACATGGCCAAACCCGAATGTTGTGTGATGCTGAAAAGAGATAGATTTGAAGGCACACCATCTGTTTTACAGTTTTTGATTTTGCTGTACCACAAATCTACTCGGTACATTTTGCAATGATCTATTTAGCTGCTAGCTCATTTGCACAATTACTTAGGCCAGAAATATGTGTTGCACAGAATGATTTGAGAGATCAACATAGTCATTAGAGAGGGCAGATATAACCCATTTTTGAGTGAAGACTATTTTTTTAGCCCTTGGAGGAAAAAATATTCTTCAAAGAAATGATTAGAAATTGCCAAAAGAAAATAAGAAAATTTAAAAGAAGAGCGATATGATATCTAAACTTATTTGGGCCTTCAGGTCACCATCTACCTCTCTGATGGTCATTTCAATGGAAACTTCTCGTTCTCATCTTAACCGTTCTGCAGCCTTTATTTGCAAGCTATCTACTCTTGCTTCTTTTTCAAGCATCTTTCCCACTTAACTTTCTTAATATCCTCTCAGAATTTCCCTCCTCCCTCACCAGCTGCTCCTTTCTGCCTCCATTGCTAGCTCCTCCTCTTCTCAATGATGGAGTGTCTAAAAACAGGGTGCTGGGGTCTCTTTTCCTTTCTACCCATATTTTCTTCCCAATTTCTCTCTTCACCTGATAGCATGTTATATGGCATCTATATACTTCCGATTCCCACATTTATAGATTCAGATCAGACTTTTCCAGCTCCAGACTCAGGTATTTAATTTTGATATATCTATGTGAACGCAACACAGGCATCTCAACCTTAGCAAAGCTAATGTGGAATTCTTGAGTCACCACCCTTTCCCCAGACAAAAAAAACCCCACAAAACCCTATTTTTCTTACAATCTTCAACATCTCAGTTGGTGGCACTACCGTCCAACCAACTGTTAATGTAAAATCTAGGAGTCACCCTTGAATCCTCCCTTCTGCTCATCTCTCATCTAATCAATCGCCAAGTCCTATCAATCAATATACTTTAAAAAATATATATAGTGATATATATTTTTTAATTATTATATTAAATATATATTTAGTGACATATATATTTTATTAATTTCTCTTCAACTCTATTGCTACCATCTGTTTAAGCCACCATCATCTCTCAACAATAATTACTACTGCAACATGGGCATATCACATATTTCCAGTACCTAACATACTGTCTAACAAAGTAACAGGATGTAAAAAAATGTTTTTCATAGATGATTACGGCTCAGCAATATTCCTATATGTCTTGACAAATCTCCAGTCTCAGTTCCCAGACATTTTCTGAGATACCTCCAGACTGATCCATTTACTGAGTCACTGCCGCACGCAGCAATTTTTGATACTGTATTAATGGGTATTAGATTCAATTGCACACTTTGCAGTGTCTTAAAGATGACAGAATTTTGTTGCCTGCTCACAGAAAGAGGTCTGGAGGAAGGTGGTCAAGGCTGGAAGGGCAGCTGTATGAGCTGCAAGCCCTGTTCCTTGCAACGTATCGCTCCGCCATCCTCAGCTTATGGACTCCGCTTTATGGTCCAAAATGGCTACTCACACTCCAGCCATCACATCTGCATTCCAGTCTCCAGGAAAGAAAACAGGCATGAGGAATTCCATAGTCCCTCCATTTAAAGACCCTTCTCAGAAACTGCATCTGCTTCCACTCAGATCTCACCGGCCATCACAACAACCAGCAAAGACAGGATAACCAGCAAAGAACACCAGACAGCAATGTTTCCAGATAAAAGTCAGGATCTTCGTTGCCACAGAAGACAGAGAGAATAAATATCGAGAGCTAAGTAGCGGCCTCTTCCAAGGTTCCTATAGTAACCAGGTAATGTTCTGGGTGCAGGGATACAAAGATCAGGTAAGACACCGGGTCAAGGCATTCAGTCTAATGGGAAAAAAGAAATATTTAAATGAGTGGTTACTCAGGATTTCTAGCTGGGAAATAGCCACTGTTAAGAGACATTGGCTTTTCTGAGACCCCGAAGATTCTTTGCATCCAAAGAGTTGAAGAGAAGTGGGTGGTTCCAGTGCTTTACAGACTACACAGACTCTTCCATGTTCCACAGTTTAATAGTGGACACCTCTCAGCTCTACCTTACTGGACTTGATTATCTTCATGGCATGAAGCAAAAGTTCATTTAAACTTCTATAAACATATATCAACAACTGTGGTAGTAGTTTTAGCAGTTTGAAAATACCCATTTCAGAAATGTGTCCATTTTTTTTTAACTGATCAGAAGATGAGACAGATTGACTATTTTTTTTTTTTTAGAAAAATGATATATATGCTACAAGGCCAAAGAAAAGAAAGAAGCAATGGTAGAATGTCCAAAAGAAAAAAGTACTACTGTAACTTACTGTTATCCACTGGTTATCTAGCAGTTCCTTAGCTGTGAGTCTGTGAGCAGGATCTACTTTCAAAAGTTGTTTCAAAACACTTTTAGCTGCAAATAAAGGAAACTCCTAAATATCTTATTTATCTTAACTGCAATTAATAACAATTTCTAATTTATTCAGAATTAAGTGTGTATGACATGAAGAAAAGATGACAATTATAAAACAAATATCATCAGTATAAATGGCTAAGAAATAAAGTGTAAGGTCTATAGTGAGGTTTTACTACCTAGATTATCTGGTTTATATTCCAATAGAGGCCCAGTGCTCAAAATTCGTGCATTGGGGAAGAGGGGATCTCAGCCCAGTCTGCACCCTCTCCAATCCGGGACCCCTCAAAGGATGTCCAACTGCCCGGGATTGGACCTAAACCAGCAGTCAGACATCCCTCTCACAATCCTGGACTGCTGGCTCCTAATTGTTCACCTGTCTGCCAGATTGGTCACCCCTAATTGCCCCTGCCCCCTACCAGCCTGATCGCCCCTCATTGCCTCTGTGTGCCGGCCTGATTGCCCCTACCTGCCCTCTCCCGCTGGCCTGGTCACCCCTAACTGCCCCTTGCTGCTGGCCTGGTCGCCCCCAACTGCCCCCCCTCCACCAACCTGGTTGCCTCTTACTGCCCTCCCTGCCAGCCTGGTTTCCGCAAAATGCCCTCCTCTGCTGACCTGGTCGCCCCTAACTCCCTCCCACCCCCCGCGCCAGCCTGGTCACCCTTCAAAGCCTCCCTGCTGACCTGGTCATCCCATACAGTCTGCTGTTGAGTCATTTGGTCATCCCTCACTAACCCCCCTGCAGGCTGGTTGTAGGCAGCCATCTTGTGAGGGTGTGAGAATCAATTTGCATATTGCCTCTTTATTATATAGGATAGTAAAAAATTAGATAATCGGTAAATTTCCTCCTGGATTTTCACTCAGTATATTCTGTTTTGATTGGAAGTTTTGACTGTAACAATTACAGTGAAGATACCACTATTTCCACAAGTAAACAGTGTTATTTCTACAAATAAATTTAAAGACTAAACAGGAAGTTAAAGTATCTGAATTACTAGCATACCTTTTTATGTTACATATATTTGCTTTAGGAAACAATAAAAATCTATATTACCACAATCACTTATGGTGTCCCACACTGGATCACTGAAACGCAGCTCTCCCTTTCTTATTAACTCAAAAAGCTTCTCTTCCGAGCTTGCAAAAAAAGGTGGTTCTCCGCATAACCTACAACAAAGGCAATCATTTTCTTTAGGTTTTTAAAAACCAAAATACGGCTATTAAAAGTTAAGTTTCCACAGGACATGCTAGCGGTGGTGCTTCATATTTAAGTAAAGGACAGGAAGAAGGAGTAGAAGACATTGAAACTGTTAAAAATTTTGCTTACCTTGGTTTAGTCGTCAATTCAAATGAAGACCACACTTTGAATCCTATACAATTTTATTAACTAATGTTATCCCCATAAGTCCAATAAAAATTAAAAAATAAAAGATTTTTAAAATGGAGACTGCAGCCAAGAAATCAAGAGAAGACTGAGACTTGAAAGAGCAGAAGTGTAAGAATGAGGGAAGGTCATCAAGAGCAAAGATGTGTCATTAGAGACCACCGCTAAGCTCACCACACCCTCGTGTTCCCACTGACCACACATAGATGAGAAAACTGGACAGTGAAGAAGGCTGAAAGGGAAAAAAAAACGGATTCATCTGAAATATGTTAGACAAAATCTCTATGTACTCTGGACTGCCAGGAAGATGAGCAAATTAAGCCTAATAAAAAAAAAAATGACAAAACTGAAGCTGTACTACTTGGGACACAATAAGAGAAGACAGCGATGCTTGGAAAAATTGAAGGCCGCAGGAAAAGAGGAAAAGCAAATATGGAATGGACTGACTCTATAACAGAAGAACTAGACATGAGTCTAGAGGAGCTGAGCAGGGCTGGTGAGGACAGGACACTGTGAACACACTCATTCAAAGGGTCTCCAAGAGTCGGAGCCAACTCAATGGCCTGCAATATACATACAGGAGGAGGTGGGTACCTCTCTGGTTGCAGAAATGGAAGCAAAGGGGTTTGGGGAGATCAGTGCTGGGCTCTTGTATACACTGAAACCTCCAGATCTGCAAATGACCCAAAGCTCTTCAGGTGGGAAAACATATAGCTCAAACAGGGTTAAAACACAGGAAGGTGTGTACGCAGTAGTAGCTGCAGGCAATGGAAGAGATATACTTTATTGTGAGCAAGGAGAGTGCAATGCCTAAGGCACATAATCCAAACTAAACTTATGGAAAAACATACGGGGTTAGCAGAGTCTAATGTGGGTTGTCAAAGGCTAAGTGACCATGTAAGCGTTTTATCCATGGTAAACTACTGTACAAATGTTAGCAAGACTAAACCAGGAATAACCCTGGGAATGTCTATAGGCTCTGGGTCAAAGCTAAAAAGAAATCCATTGAAATGATCACCCTCTCCCAAAATAGTAAACAAGATGAAGAAATCTGGGTGAGAAAAATCAGATGATGATAATTTCAGCCTTCGATCTGAAAGGTGAAAGCTGGGGAGGGGGGAGATATTATACATACATACATACATACATACATATTACATATGTATATATACGTGTGTGTGTTATATATGTATATATGTAAATAATGACCAATATCAGTACCACCGTAAGCAGGCTGTATGAACAGGAGCATGTTTGCACATTCTAGAACATAGGAACTATGTATGAGTCATTACAATCTTTTAAAAGGAAAAACTGCTATACTTCACAAAGAGCACAGCAAGCCTGTGCTTCAGTAGACAATCCAGTCCTAAACTACAAAAACATGCTTAAAAGTTGAGTTTGGTTCTTCATAGTACATTCTCAGTTTATAAATGTCAGCCACCCTCATTACTGTCAACCCCGATGTATAAGAGCAGCCCTGAGTGCAATGAGCAGGTTTTCCCAGTGACACCCGGACAGAAGGTGGACCTGGATTCATCACAGAGGCCACTCTGTATGTCTGTTCTTCAACTCTCAAGATTGCATTTTTTGCATTTATTGCTGAAAGAATAAAATGGCACAATCTGATTATACTTCCCAAATGCTGGCCTATTATGGTTAATCCTAACCTGAGGATATTTTTTTCCATTAATTTTTGGAGAGTAGAAGAGAAGGAGAGAGAGAGCAAGAGACAGAGAGATAGAAAGACAGAGAGACAGAGATCGAAACATACATCAACATGAGAGACATTGATTGGTTGTCTCTGCATGAGCCCTGACCAGGGCCAGGGATCAAACTTACAACCCAGGTATGCGCACTTGCCCCAGAATAGAAACTGTGACCCTTCAGCCAAAACTGGTTTGGCTCAATGGATAGAGCGTCGGCTTGGGGACTGAAGGGTCCTGGGTTCGATTCCGGTCAAGGGCATATACCTTGGTTGCGGGCATATCCTCAGTAAGGGATGTGCAAGAGCACATGTGTCAAACACAAGGCCCGCGGGCCAAATCCGTCCCGCCAGGCCTTGCAATGTGGCCTGCACCGCGCTGTCATCACTGCACTCCGCTGCGTTTCCATCACAGTGACAGTTTATGACTGTTCAGTAAACCATTCGGCCCGCGATTTAGGCTGGATTTTAGATTTTGGCCCCTTCTCTGATTGAGTTCGACACCCCTATGCAAGAGGCAGCTGATCAATGACTCTCTCTCATTGATGTTTCTAACTCTCTCTCTCTCTCCCTTCCTCTCTGTACAAAATCAATAAAATCTATTTTAAAGAAGAAAGAAAGAAAGAAAGGAAGGAAGGAAGGGAGGGAGGGAGGGAGGGAGGGAGGGAGGGAGGGAGGGAGGGAGGGAGGGAGGGAGAGAGAGAGAGAGAGAGAGAGAGAGAGAGAGAGAGAGAGGGAGAAAGAAAGAAAGAAAGAAAGAAAGAAAGAAAGAAAGAAAGAAAGAAAGAAAGAAAAAAAGAAAGAAAGAAAGAAAAGTAAGACACTTCAGTGAGCAGGCTGATGCTCTAACCACTAAGTATACCAGCCTGAGTGCTGGTCTATTAAGTATTTAAATATAATGATCTCTAAGCCTCTCAAAAGTTACATTTTTATGGATTTTTTTCTTTACATTCTTTAATAGTCTTTCCCATGAACATTTTCTGAATAAGTATAATTTGATAAATACGGTATTTTCCATGAAAATGATGATTTTCCTTAGGGAAAAACTTGTTTTCATCCTAGTTTATCAAAGTAGGATGGACATATTGGCTTTTCATTTCCCAACAGGTTCTTGTTAAGAAATAGGTAGGTATTTACCAAATTGCTCTACAAACTCTTATTTTAATCCTTTTTTACTGCTTTAGCTCATCCTGACTCTCCTATATGCTTTACTTGCCTATTATTTACTTCTAAAATACAATTTTTAAAGATCCAGAAACATGGTTTTATGAACAATTACTACTTGTTGTAAGAAGCAGAGGCCAACAAAAGCCCCGCTCACTGAGTCTGCTAATGACCAGTGAGGTGCACATTTACTGATTCCTTAGCTGCCCCTGTGCTGCTGGGCTGGCATGCAACTATAGCTTAAGGGCTATGTTTTTAAAATTCCACTTTTTTCCGTTCTTTCCAATTTTACTTACACAAGGATGTACCTAATGGTTGGTCAATCAGCAGCATGTGAAATTTTATGACAGCAATTTTCTGCACATCCAGAAAAGGAAATCCAAGCCATGAAAAATGCCTCTTAAAGCTTCCCTATTATTTTTTATGGCATTCATAGGAATCAAAGCAGCAGCGGATACACACATAAAGAATATTTATGTTAATTTCACCTTGAAGAAGAATGTTATCATTGTCCAATTAAGTAGCAATAAGTTAGCAGTAACTGACAAACAAGAAAATAACCCCCTGGAGAAGGTAATGTGTCTGTTCCTGGGTGAGAAAATTATCTGTAAGGCCGCTGGGCGCAGGCAGGTTAATGAATAGGCACTGATTAGCTAAGTTCTTAAGAGTCTACTGTAAAGAAAACAGGTGTCCTTTGTGATGAGATGCAGCCATGGTCTGAAACGGAAAAATTAAAATTATACCTTTAAGAAAGATAAATTTTTTAACATATTAATACACTATCACTTTCCTTCACACCAAATTAGAACTGAGAAGGCAGCAAACACATGAGTTGTGTAATATTAGATGACACCTATAATTTGACTTGTGTTGTCTAGAAAGTCTTGCAAGTATAAAACACCAAGTTAAAATGGTTATATTAATTTTTAAATATATTTTTATTGATTTTAAAGAGAGAGGGGGAAGGGAGAGAGAGAGAGAAAAACATTGATATGAGAGAGAAACATCAATTGGATGCCTTTCATACATGCCCAACCAGGGATCGAACCCGCAACCCAGTTGTGTGCCCTGACCAGGAATTGAACTGGCAGCCTACGAACTGAGCCACTCCAACTGGGCAAAATGGTTACATTTTTAATTAAAGACTAAGGCTCCGAATTTTTATATGATTCTAACTAGCACAAAACAATGATCAAAATTTTGTGAATACATTTATACTCTATGCAACCTAAGCAGTTAATGAATGCTGACCATCTGAGTTACAGCTATAATCACATTATCCTATTTCTACTGCCTGTGCATTCCATTTCACAAAACTGAAAATGTGACTACTGTGATGTCAATATTTAGAAAAGATCTGGAAGAGGCAGTATACAGCGACATCGTCAATATGACCATAAAACTAATATTGCATCAACATAAAAATGTTCATGTTCACCAGGAGGCAGAGCAATGGTCAGTAACTTTTCAGAACACCTCTTAGAAAATTCACTTTAATTTGATTTAGCAAACATACATTGAGCACTGATTGCATGCCTACTATTGTGCCAGATACCAGGGATGCAAAAATAAATACAATGTCTGACCTTCAGGGAATTTAGAGCAAGGAAAATAAACACAATACACATAATACAATAATTTTATCACAACATTATAATCTAGTTTTTAAAAGTGCTAACAGAGAAGTGAGAGATTAATTCATTCAAACTTGCACATGCGCAAACCTTCCTGGTTAAATGTTCTTATTTTATTATTTTGTTTTTCTTTCAGTGCATTTTATATTTCTTTCAATGCATTTCTTTCAATGCATTTTGTTTTTCTTTCAATGCATTTTTATATGTTGCCTTACATCCTCTGGGAAAGTATACATAATAAACAGAAAAAGGGAGATAAAAGGCACTAATCTTTGTCCTGGCACGGTCATGAGAGAGGTTAGTAGAAAAGAAAGAGCATTCTAGGAAGAAGGAACTGAATGAGCAAAGATGGAAAGTTATGGGATTCGGGGTCCTGGCCAAACCTCTGCCTGGCAGTGCCCGCCCGTCACACTGGCCAGATCCCAGGACCTCTGCTAAGTGATGGGCTCTTAGTGACTCTCTTGAGAAAATACAAAGAAGCGGAGTTTGTAGCAAAGGATCAGAAAAGTTTTAAGGCAAGTTTTCACTTGGCTCAGATCATACAGTGCATTGTAGCATTTGCGGTCAGTAGAAAGCAAAGCTGAAAGTTATGAATGTATAGCATTAAAAAAAAAACACCTAATGCAAGTGCCTGACAATAAATGAGAGGGCTTTAAGAGGGACTTCCCAATGGTTTCTTCAGTCACTTTTTAAAAACTATATAGTTTAGTTTTAATTTAAAATCTACACAATTCTGCTAGAAACCATTCCTTTTAAACTGTACATTTATTGGGCTACTTACAAAATGTACATGATGACACCTATGCTCCAAATGTCACACTGCTGGCTGTAGTCGTGGTCATTGATTACCTCAGGGGCTGCCAAACAAGCAGGAATAAAATAATATCAATAATACAATCAATGACTTTAAATGCTTAAACACAAAGCATGAGAAATGTGCTGATGTGCTGTAATTTATTCCCCCACAGGGAGAAAGGAACTAACAGCAGATATTAAATGAATAATGCACAGGCCCTCACAATTGATGTAGCTGTGCCCCCACTCCCGTCATTAGCTTCTGGCGGAACGATGGCACAAAACTGTATGACTATGTGCACAACAGCACTTCACTCTGTTGGACTTGTTAAGAAATGACTTTGTGACGATCATGTAGTTACAGCAGAAGACGACAACATCTCAGTTCTTTTCCAAAAATAGAATTAAATGTGTGCCTTAAGTGGATATAATTTAAAGCAAGCCCAATGTGTGGAAATCTGAATTCACAGAAAAACTACAATAAATGGTTGTAAGTCACATTAGTAAAGTAATAATAAAATCACAGCATTCCTGTGACAGAATAGGGATTATTTCCCATGTTTTCCAGATGAGAAAACTGAGACAAAGAGAGAGCTTCCACCACATAACTGGGTCGAAAAGCCAGTTAGTCACAGGACTCCTGACTCTGCTTCTCACTGCACAACATGCAACACAATAGGGATCCTTTAAACAATTTTTCAAAGTAGAACTTTTTTTAAAACTTTAAAGTAGCACATTTTTTAACGATTAGATTTTTTTAATGGCTAGTTTTTAAGGAAGTCACATATGATATTTCACCTCTGCAGTCAGAAATCAAATATCTTTAAGGAAAAACAAAGAATAGAACAGTTATAAATATAAAAATAATAGATATATTTCAATAGAACTTTAACATTTATAATGTACTTTTGTATAAATTATGTTAAGTATCTTGTGAGATGGGTAGGTAGGTATTTGACTCACTTTGTCAGCGAAGAAACTAAGTTTCAGATATTTAAGTGACTTGATTAAAGTTACAAAGGCGTTTTTATTTTAGAAAACAGTTTCAATCTCCCTCACCTACACACACACTTTTCATAACCTCTAAAAGCAAATGGAATTTCATTTCCTCTTCCTATTGTTAAAGGAACTTAAAGCAACAAAAAAGGTTAAAAAGTAAACTGAAGAAGGAATGAGAAAAGGCTCTACCACAGATAATTAACAAACTGAATATTTCATCTTCAAATCATTGAAAGTTAACTAATTAATATTTTTCTCTAAGGAATAGCTTGCACTCTAACTCTACTTAAACTCGTTAAGTCTGGACTCATTACAGCCGCTCCTTGGCCACGTGTCCATGACAAGGCGAATGCTGGGATTAGATTCCATGAAGAAGCTCCACACAGGTGCACCACACGCACAGCGGGGCCCGATGCTGGCCCTCACCTTTCAGAGTCCCCTTAAGTGCCTGGGGATTTCTGCCGCACTGCCATCACAGCTCTCGTGGGGGGCAGAGGCCAGAATAACCGTGCCAAGGAGCCATTTAGAAAGCCAGGAAAGCTCTACAAACCATCTGTCTTCTCTCTTATTCTCTCACTTGTTATCAGTGTCGACAACTAATAAGCAGGCATAAAACTCAGGATGCCTGGGTATATTTTCCCCATATAACTACAGACCAGATGTCTTTTGCCAACAGGAGGATATGAACAGAATCTAAAGTAGCCTTTTCCCAAATAAGATAAAACAATTTTGAAACTTTATGCATTGAACAGGCAAAACAAAACAAAAAAACAAAAACAAAAACACACAATAAAACTCTTTACTCCTCAGTAAAAATAAATAAATAAATAAATAAATAAATAAATAAGAATAAACTACTAATATGTCTAAAATCATTACATGGAGCAAAAGAAGAGAGACAAAAGAATTCATACTCTATGTACTGTATAATTCAATTTATATAAAGTTCTAGACCAGCACAACTAAGCTGACAGAAATCATTAGCGGTTGCTGGGTCTGGATGGGGGTTGGCTGAGAGGGACACGAAGGAACTATGAGTGACAGAAATGTTCTGTATCTTCTTTGGGTGGTGATTATACAAGTGTATGCATTTCTCAAAACTCACTGAACTTTATACTTAATATTTGCACATTTTATTATAACTCAATTAAAGTAGATGTTTTTACAAATCTGAAAGTACAAAAAGAATTTCTCAAAGCCCCATCTTGGTAGGTGACTTTAAAAACATTCTCTCTTAGAAATCAAGCAAAATTAAACAATACGTAAAGTTTAAATCATCAAGACATCACATTTGATTTTATTAGGACAAACATGGAGAAATGTTTATGCTCAACAAACCAGAAATGCAGATATTTCTAAATTCCCAATGCAACATTTTCAGAAACAATCATGTGTTCAATCATAACAAAAATTCCTAAAAGTTGGTAGAGCTTTAAGTCACAATTGCTACTACAATGAGGAAAACCAGACAGAGAAACCAAAAGGCTAGGAAAACTAACACACATAAGAATCAAACACATTGTAACTAACTAGAAAATTCTAAAAGCACTTCTAAATAATTCTTAAACCAAAGAAGAAGACTAAAACTTTAACAGTCTGTACAATTTGGACAGTGTATATAACAAAAGAAATGATCAAAGAAATACTCAGAGAAAAATATATAATCTTAAATGCATTTATTAGAAAATGAACAGATGGAAAATAAACATTTAGCTTAGGAAGTTAAAAAAGAAACCAAAAGAAAGTAGAAAAAAGGAATTCAGAATGATAAAAAGCAGAAATTAATGAAAAAGCAAACAAAAGTAACATTAGATTTGAGCTGGTCTTTTGAAATCCCAATAAATTGGCCCAACCACTAACAAATTTGATCAATTAAAAATTGACAAGAAAAAAAGAGCTGAAACTGAGTACCAAGTATCAGGTACTATGCTAATCACTTTACGTACATTTTCTCATTTAATTCTCATATCAACCGATATTATTACAATCCTAAATATGTCCTCTCCCCTTCCCTGTTTTATTTTCAACCTTAGCACTGCTCTCTAATATATCCCATAGTTTATTTTTTTATCTTGTTTAATGTTTTTGCCAACATGACATTTTTATGTTTGTTCACCACTATATTCCCAATATCTAGACCAGTGTCCAACACAAAAAAGTCCTCAAAAATTTTTTGATAAATGAGTGACATAATCCCTATTACATGATATAGAAATTGTGGCAAAATTGTGTTTGCCTAGAGTTAATTAGATAATAAATGAAAGAACTGAAATTCCAAGTTAGCCAGATGATGTCAGAGATCATATTACCAATATTACATCATGCTACCTTCTTTAAAAATATTAGCAATCCATAGGGGGATATAACCACAAATACACAGGAAAATCTGAAAATTTTAAGTGATATTAAGAAATTTTAAGTGATATTAAGAAATATTGCATATTTCTGCCAAAAAAGTAAAATCTCAATATAATAAACAATTTTCTAAAAAGCATAAATTATAAAAATGATTCAAAAAGATGTGAAAAACTTGAATAACCTAGAATAAATTGATAATATTATATACTAGAAAGTTCTTCCCCCAAAGGGTACCAGGACAAAAATATTTTAAGATGAAATTTCATCAAACAAATGAATAGATAATTTCTACTACTTAAATAGTTCATAGAATATAAAAAGTGAAAATGTTTTATTTTTTAAACGAGGCCAACATAACCTTAACTTCAAAAAAGACAAGGGCAGCACAAAAGAAAGAAAACTCCACTCATAGCTCTCAAAGTGGTGACAATTTGAATATAACAGTATTTTAGACCAAGTGGGGTTAAATTCAAAAATGCAAAGGATGGTTCAACATTTTAAAAAGTAATTGATGTAATTATTTCATTAATAAATTTAAAGAGAAAAAATATGTGATCATCTCAATAGGTACAGATTTGAATAGACATGCCTTCAGAGAAGATATGTATATAAATAACTAATAAGTACAGGAAAAGATGTTCAACATCATTGGTCATTAGGGTAATGCTAATTAAAACCACAATGGGATACCAGAATGGCTATAATTTAAAAGGACAGGTAATACCAAGTGCCAGCAAGAATGTGAAGAAGCGGAAACCCTCATACATTGCTAGTAGAAAGGTAAAATGTTACAGCCACTTTGGAAAATCATTGGCAGTTTCTTAAAAATTTAAACATGAATAATATGTGACCCGGCAATTTCATCTCTAGGTATCTACACAAAGAAAATAAAACCACATGGCCATAGAAAAACTTGCACATGAATGTTCATAATAGCATTATTCATAATAGCCCCAAACAACCCGCATGTTCATAAGCTAACAAATGGATAACAAATTGTGGCATATCCATACAATGGACAACTGTTAGCAATATACTAGTGAAGAACAGACTACATACAGACACATTCTACAACAAGGATGGACCTCAGAAACATGATGCCAAGGGAAAGAAGCCAGATATAAAAGACTATATTTACAGGGAATGCTCAGAAAAGACAAATCCCTGGGGTTGGGATGTGTATGAGATTGAGTGCAAATAAGCATGAGTCAGCTTTTGGAGGTGAAGTTATTCTAAAACTGGGTTGTGGTGATAGTTCACAATTCCATGAATGTATGCAAAATAATTGAATGGCACATTTTTTATGATTTATACCTTAGTAAAACCATTAAAATACATATTTGGAAAAATGGGAAATTGCTGTTTTACAAATATATTCAATCAGTATTCTTTGTGAAAACCTATTTGATGGCAATGAAATTGAATTTTTTTAAAAATGGAAAGAAGCAAAACACACACGTGATTTTAGCATAAATTAACAAAAACAATAATTAAGTTTGGGATATGATTACTTAAGAGAAATAAACATCTGTAAGAAGAGCCCAGAGAAAACAATAAACTCTACCACCTTTGAAGGTAAAAATTATGAGACAAACACTACACAGCTGAAATTATTTGACCTTCAAAAAACACACACATAGCTCAAGCAGGGCCATTAAGTCATGACAGCAAAATCAAATTGCTCGGGTTTTAATCCACGTGACTTGTTCTACGTTTTAACAGTCCAATGACTCACCCATATAGGTAGGAGTCCCGCACGTGGTCTGCAGCATGGCCACGCTCCCGCCATGCTTCTTCGCTGCTAAGCCAAAATCAGTCACCTACAAGGAGAAACTCAGTCACCTGTGTTCCTGTCCCAGCGTCACTCAGGCTGAAGGTAGGATTTTGTAACTGCAGTGAATTCAGGGATCCAGATGGAGGGGCTTTACTTGTATTACTAATAAGAACCTCGCTTTCCCTCCCCCACACACCCTCTCTGGGAAGAAGAAACTTGGTACAGAGAAGCCTGGTTTCTCAATTCTTGAGAAAAAAAAACCAAGTTGGTGATTGTTCATTCCTTATAATTAAATTTATCAGTTTAATGTAGGAAGTGAAATCTTGAGAAAAGGCATTTAACTTTTTTTCAAATAAAAGTTATTTTTAAGAAGTTCTTTCACATCCTAGCCAGTTTGGCTCAGTGGATAGAGCATTGGCCTGCAGACTGAAGGGTCCTGGGTTCGATTCTGGTCAGGGGCATATGCCCAGGCTGCAGGCTCGGTCCCCAGTGGGGGGTGTACAGGAAGCAGCAGATCAATGATTCTCTGTCATTATTGACGTTTCTATCTATCTCACCTCTCCCTTCCTTTCTGAAATCAATAAAAAATGTATTTTAAAAAAAGTTATTTCACTGTAAATTACATTCTGTTTATTATCTATTTTTCTGACAAACTATGTTTCAGTTTAAAGCACTGTTATAAATGCAAACCACTATCTTTTCCAGCACTCACAGAAACTTCCCCCTTTTGTAATTATTTAAAAAAAAAATACAACAATATCTCTGGTAAATACTATCTTTTCTTTATTATTTCCTTTGTGTTTCTAGAGTGTAATAATTGAAACAATGGCTATACTATTAAAAACAACAAGAAACTAAGAGGAAAAAATACAGTAAAAATACAAATACACTGGAGGCTTGCTGCTGCAACTGCAGTCTTTCTGCTCGGTTCTAAACTTGGTCATTAAACATGTGGTTATTAAGTATTCAGTATGTGCCCTTGGTCTTGTCTCCCAAATTGGAACAGCCTTGGGCTGAGAGCAGAAAAACAGGCACATTTATTGACCATACAACAAAGATAGGCTCAGTCCACAGACACTGAATGCAGTTTGCAGTGTCTTATGGAGTAAGAGAAAAGTTCCTGTCTACACGTGATATCATTTTTTTTCTTAATAGATTAATCAATTTCCCCAGAAGTTTCCACAATGATCCCACTTGGAGTACTATCACACACATCTTTCTCCGCAGAAAATCTATTCAGATATCAAATAAATAAAAGCTTTGACGATCCAATTCAATTCTTTGGAGAACATTTATTTCCTCATTTGCCAAATGGTATTAATTGAGCACATACTATGTTTCAGGCACTATTTCAAGTACCAACAGTGAATAAGGCACACATAATTCCTGCCTTCCCGAAGTTTACAATGGAAATGCTCAAGGACATTTACTCAGGGAGAACAACCATGTTGTTAAACCTACTTCTATTACAGGGATTTAGCATCTGCAACAGAGTGCATTATCCACATTTTATTCCTAAATTAACACATTTATTTTGAAAGCAGCCATTATTAAAGTGCTAAGTAATAAATAATGTATCCTATCATTTATTTGACATTAAGGAACACTTAATTTGAATAAAATCTTCAAGAATAAACACTTGGCACACTAATTGTGCTTAGGATATAAATATTAATACCCGGGAAGATTTTCAGTGAGAAATACAGACTTTAGCATTAATTTGGTATCAGAGGCATAGCCAAGGTGTGTTTTTTTTCTAAATCTGTAACACATTTACATCACATTACCAGGCATAATTTTGAAATTAATTAGAATTCAGAGCATCTGTTTGCTTGCTGTTAACTAATGATTTAGAACTATCCAAATGAACATGTACTTTAAAAAAATTCAATAGTACCACTTAACTTGCAAAATTATTCCTGTCAGTTATAACCTCTTTTGTGAATTTTATTTTTTTAGCACCAGTCATTTATTTTCTGGCTGCTCAAAGCTTCTAAAATGTGTCTAAAAAGGGGATGTACTTTGCCACTTTGCTATCAAACTGTTTATAGGCAAATATTTACCACCATTTCTAGTGTCTTACCTTTATGTTTAAGTTCATTTCATTGTGAGCATCAGTAAAGCTGCTTTTAACCATTATGTTTTCCAGTTTTAGATCTCTATGTACTATATCTACCAAGAAAATAGACAACAAATCAAATGAAATGAATGGAAAAATAGAAGGGACACAAATACAACAAATAAATATATTTGACAAATTAACGTCCACCGTTGAAATATTTGAGATGGGCCAAGCATAATTCTGCTCTGTCCCACTCCCCTTATGTTCAGATCCCTCTTCTCCACGTTTTGACCTCCAGGAGCCATTCTCTTTGACTCCCTCATCTCTCCCAATCCCCTTGTTGCTCAATTTTTCTGTGAACCTAAAATGGCTCAAAGAAACAAAAAACAAAAACAAAGTGTTGAGAATATTTAATTTTTAAATTAGTAATATATAAATTTTTAGAAATTTCACTTTATTGTTGATTTGTCTACTTTTGATTTGAGAATAATAGCTGCTTTTCAAACTGTTGAATGGAAACGTTCATTAACTTTATCCTTGTCCATGTATAATGTAATTGTATGCCTGCCTTTTTTCTAATTAAAATATATATCTATAAATGAAGTTAAAAATGAAAAGATCTTTATATCCATAAAAGGCTAAGCGACTATCCAACCATCCGACCACCAGAGGGCAGGAGCTGCCAAGCTGCGGTTCTCCAGTGACACACTTGGAACCAGAGAGTAGGGGGCCCAGTTCCTTGCGGAGCAGGGGTTGAGGGTGGATGGGTGGGGGGCGTGCAATTCTACCTTCGACTGTGGGTTATGTTGTTGATAAAAAAATTAATTTCTTCTTATTAATTTCCTTTCAATGTGCACAAATCTGTGCACCGGAACACTAGTTTTTAAATGAAATCTCCCATACTAGTAGGCATATTTCTGTGACTACAAATCCTGAAGACAATTACCCTGAAATAAATGTGAGCCTGCATTCATGGAGTCAGTGGCTGGTGACCCTCCCCTTACCGTTATTGTGCAGATAGGCTATCGCTGATGCGAGACTCTGAATGATCCATCTGGTCTCATTCTCTGAGAAATGCCTTTTCTTCTTCAGAATTTCTTTGAGTTCTCCATCCTCACAAAGCTCCATCACAAGGTACATTTTCTGACATTATATATATAAAAAGCAAGAGAGAGCAAATTATATAGGTGGGGATCTTAAACATGTTATAGATTACATATATAATAAAAGTATGATCACACTCTTTTTTAAAAATGTAATTTTATTGTTTACAGAGAGAAAGGGAAAGATAGAAACATCAATGATGAGAGAGAATCATTAACTGGCTGCCTCCTGCACACCCTCCATTGGGGATCGAGCCTGCCACTAAGGCATGTGCCCTGACTGAGAATTGAACCATGACCTCCTGGTTCATAGGTCAACACTCAACCACTGATCCACACTGGCCGGCTAGGATCACACTCTTAATCATCATTATATTTGAAAAATATTTATTATCTATCATGTATGAGATACTGTCAGGATACTAGAGGGACATGGAGGCATAAAACATAGTCTTTATCCTCAAGGCGCTCACAGTGTAGTTAAAACTAAAAATCAGGTGATAAGTGTCGGCAGAAGAGGCAGGCCCCAAAAGCCAGGAGATTACAGAGGAGGGAAGCTTCTGCTGAAAGAAAGCTCTCTGAGGAGGTGACATTGAAGGCAGGTCTGGTGGCCTAGATAGCAATATGGGGTTGAGACAGTAGACAAGAACAGGCAGAACATGTGGTATTTGCAAAGACCACAAAAGTTGAAATGACACTGGCTGTTAAAAGAACACCAGATATCTCAGTGCTAATAGCTCTGGGAGTTTGGTAGGGCAGAGGAGAGTGGAGTGGTGGTAAGGGGAGGTCGAAAGAACAGGCAGGGGCCAGGTTATAGGGTCTCATATATCAGAGGAAGAGGAATTTGGAACTTTTCCCATATGCGGACAGGAGCCACTGAGGATTCTGAAGCTGGGGTGGGGGAAAGGTGTATGCTATGACCAATTCTGCATTTCTACATGAACCTTCTAGCAGAAATGTGAAGCAGGGCTCAGCAAGCTTTTGCTGTAAAGGCCAGAACAAGACAAGAAATACTTGCAGCTTTGTGGGCCATACGATCTCTTTTGTAGCTACACAACTCTGCAGTTATAGCATAAACAATACAATGAAACTTTATTTATGGACTTTGAAAATTCAGTTTCATATAATATTCAGGTCATGAACCATTTAAAAATATAAAAGAACCTTAGCTAATGTGCCATAATGTAGGCACGCACCAGAGGTGGCTTGCTCACCGTGGCATGCTGACCTGTTTACAGAGGGCAGATGCGAGGCACAGAAGAGTGACAAGAAGGGGAAGAAGGAAAAGATGTGAAAGATACCTAGGAGAAAGAAACAGTGGGACTTAGTGACTAATGGGCTACGAGTGTAAAAGCCAGAGATGAAATGTCTCTTCCAGCCCTAACTGGTTTGGCTCAGTGGACAGAGAATCGGCCTGTGGACTGAAGAGTCCCAGGTTCAATTCCAGTCAAGGGCATGTACCGTGGCTATGGGCACATCCCCAGTGGAAGGTGTACAGGAGGTGACTGATGGATGTTTCTGACTCTCTGTCCCTCTCTCTTCCTCTCTGTAAAAAATCAATAAAATATATTTAAAATAAGAAGAAATGCCTCTTCCATATTTGCTGTTTCTGTTGATGCATTAAGATAACTTTAGGTATTTCAACAGTCAGTCAAGTCATCTAATGAGTAAAAAAGATCCAGTCAACTAAAATGCAAGTCTTTTTCACACCTATTGCTATTCAGTCACAGAATACTCTTTCCATCTCCATTCTATTCTATGATGCTAGATTTCTGTTGCTATTTTTAAGATTTTGGGGCCTGATTCTATTCTATAATCACTAGAAATGAAAGTTCTGTGTTCAATCAGCAAGCATGAAAAACAGGAAGAGAAGGTTAACACCTTTTCCTTTTATAGTCAAAATTCTGATTCACTGAACTCGAGGACGCTTTAGAATTCCAGAAGTAACTATTCTGCAAAGCCTAACACACATAAGTTTTTTAACAAGGCCATATTTTTTCTACTGACAGCACTGCAGAGGTTATTGGTGCATGAGATGGTCAGTCAGTGAACTATTTAGAAGGAACAGTTACATTAATTTATAATATAAACTGATATCAATTTCAAATATGTACACTGATAAAAGTTATAGCAATAAAAAAAATTTAAAGTTTTTTTTATAATTATTAGAAATAATCCTGTCAATCTGGAGAGCATTTGGACTCACAAGAAACCAGAGCAACTAAGTGAAGTATATACTATTATTAAATCTCTTTTACAGATGAGGAAACTGAGGTATAGAGAGGTTGAGTAATTTGTCATAGTCTCATAGCCAATAACAGAGCCAGGATTCAAAAGCACAGGCAATCAGACCCCAGAGTCCCTGTGCCTAATCACTAAATTATTTTGCCTCCAAACTAAGAATCGCCCCAGCCCACAAGCACTGGAGGCAGAATAACAGATCCCCAGGCTTCAGAACAATTCTCAGTGAAAATCACAGGCATTCCAAGAGAATGGCAGCATCTGGGGAAGAAGGAAGATTACACATGTTGCTAAGACACAGATGACAAAATATCTTCTACCGAGTGCCAAAAAATGCCCACACTAACTTTATTACAAAATTATGACAATAATCCAAAAGACTATAATGGAGAAATCAACACAAAATAAAACTGTCTCTAAGGAAGATCTAATCATCGTTTGATTGTATATGGTATAATTTAAATCTTATTTTATTTCATTATTTTTGTTGTTGTTGTTGTTTCCATTTTAAACATTCATTTTCAATATGCCACCTAAAAATATCACTAAAGTCATCAATCTAACCATCAGGCACCTAATTATACAATCAATACTGAAAGCCCTCCAGGATGCTCTCCTCCACCTTCAGTGACAAACTGGCACCAAGGACTCGAGCAAAGGTGCCGCAAAGGGATTTCTTCAGAAGGAAATGGGGTTCATTTTGTAATAATTACTCCTTTTAAAATGCAGACCTGCTGCAGCATTACCTTGGGCGTCTCAAACACCTGTTCCAGATGTATGATGTGCTCATGCTTCACACTTTTTAGGATGTTCACCTCCTGTTCAAGTAACTTCACAGCAGAGCTCCCAGCCTTAAATAATGAGACAGAGATTTCACATAGGAATGTCACTACTACATACCTCACTATAACAGTTAGTTATTATTAAAATTTTCCATTTTAGAGAGGCCATAAACCATCCCGAGACGGAGTTATCAGTGCTGGCGCCAAGCCAGGCTTTTAGTTGTGGTCTCAAGGCCCCAGCAAAGGGGGCTCTTTAAGAACTTGCAAAGGGGACCGGAAAAACCCTTATTTGGGAGACAAAGAGGTGAAAAGATATAAATAGGGAAAGCTCCCAAGTTTTTGCTCAGAATTTGAAATCTTTCTCTGGGCCTGCCGGTGTAATAAGCAGTGTAACTCCATTTCTGTGGGCATTGTTTTGTTTTTCTCCGGTCTTCTGTAACATAGCTGCTGTGAGTTTGTCATTGTGCCTGTTTGTCCCATAGTGTTTAAAAAGACACAAAGAGCTTCGTTCACAAAGCAATTGTCATGTGTGTTGCAATTGTTCTCACTTGTCTTTTATTTTATTATTTTTAAATTAACTTTTAGATAGAGAGGACTGGAGAAGGAGGGAGGAAGAAAAACATCAAGATGAGAGAGAATTATTGATTGGCTGCCTCCTACACACCCCACACTGGGGATTGAGCCTGCAGCCTGGACATGTGCCCTGATCTGGAATCCAACAGATGTATAAGTTTATGCAATTGAAAATATTTCTTCTTTTCAGAGTTGTTAAAATTTTCTGCTGTATTGATTTACAAAGCACTTTATTAATCTTTAAGGAGAAATGCTATGTAATTTGCTTTCATTTGTTTTAAGGAATACATAAAAAAAACTATTATCTCATTTCATAATTGTAACATTTATTATGAGAAATCTAAGGAAAAGTTCTGGCAGGGATGGTTCAGTTGGTCTTCCCTTGCACTGAAGGGCTGCCTGTTGGATTCCAGATCAGGGCACATGTCCAGGCTGCAGGCTCAATCCCCAGTGTGGGGTGTGTAGGAGGCAGCCAATCAATAATTCTCTCTCATCTTGATGTTTTTCTTCCTCCCTCCCTCTCCAGTCCTCTCTATCTAAAAGTTAATTTAAAAATAATAAAATAAAAGACAAGTGAGAACAATTGCAACACACATGACAGTTGCTTTAAAGAGAAAAGAAATCTAAGAGGGGAAAAACACAGAAATCTTTCCCCAAGCATAGAAATTTTTTAGAAGTTGGTAAAATGAACAGGTATAAAACCTGAGGACTTATATTCTCCCTTAAAGAGAAGCCTCATCATTCTCCAGCACAGGAGAAATCCAGTGAGGACTACAGTGGATATAATTAATAGAAGAGTAGATAGTTGGGAAGCAAGTGGTTCAAATTAAAAGAGCAGGTAGGATGAAGAATAAACTAACAATGAGGAAATGGGAAATCAAAGGAAAGGGGAGAACAGGAGAAACGTAGGGCAGAGTCCCAGGACTCATTTCTGGCTAAGGCATCTCTAAGCAGTAGCCCTACATTAATACATACTGACAATCAGACCTTACATCCAACCACTCTGGTAACATATTTGTTATGTTAGCTATCCTTTCATTTGCTTTTTCCAGATACACTTGTCTACCTGAGTTTTAGAACTGGTCCTTTCCCAGAAGGCTAGAGAAATGCCCACAGACCCCGGGGACCAGCCCTGACCCTGGCCCACAGGGTCAGAGGCAGGTGTTTTAGTGTAAAAACAATACTGCCCCCCAACCCCACCCGGCACTGCACTCAGGATGATGCTGAGAATAAGCCTTACCTTTTCTTTGTTCACTTTTTTAATTGCCCACTTAGTTCCTGTTTCCTTGTTTATAGCTTCAATGACCACTCCAAAGCTCCCTTTTCCCAATATTCTTCCAAATGTATATATATCCTGGATAAAAAATAAGAGTTCTTTTGTCTCTCTCTGCCATTCATTAGGTATTAAAAATAAACACTAATACTGACAGATATCTACCCAAGGGAAGAGAGATTCTGCTCTAGGGTGAAATCAAATTGAAGACACCATATATTTGCCTCAATAGTAATAGACACATCTTAATTAAACAAAAATAAGCTTTGATGGATTTCATTAAATGTCCTTTGGAGGAAAACCATAAAAATCCTAATGGGGAAAGGTGCAAAACCTCAAAAGCATAAAAATTAATCTCTTATAAGCTATAATAATAAAATATATTCGTAAGAAAAAGGAATGAAATATTATTTCATATGTGTGTATAAAATACATTCATCCCCAAAATTATCCCAAAAATATGAGAGCTAAACCATAAAATTAACACATAGTAACCATTAAAGAATGCTTTCTTGTTTATTAAGTTACACTTTTTCTTTATCTTCATTATTTCTATTAAGAATCTTTGTTGTTTTATTCCTTTTTAGAAAAAGCAATATGTGACAGAAATTTTGATATAAATCAGCATAGAGACAAAAATAAAATCTATCTGTAGTAATACTATCCAGACCAAGATTCCTTCTGCGGATCATTCAACTACACCACAAACACAGAATGTACTGGTCTTGCTGACACCAGGTCACTTGTTTACGCTTTCATTTCTTGTGAATTTGGTTGAGATGAGTCAATCTCCCTCATCCAAGCTAACAAGGATTTCTGGTTCTTGAGAGTTTCTGAACAGCTGAGGTAATGCCACTAGGTGACACCTGTGCTGGGTCGGCAGCCAAAGTCTTCCCTAGAACTGCTTCTCTATGTCTCTGTGATCACCTTCACCTTCACCATCAACAGGTCAATCAGTTGCTAGTCTTCATATATCCACTGCTTACTTTCCTTTCTTTAGTAAAAGAAGATTCAATGCCCAACTAATTATTTATCTCTCTCATGAAGGGTTCCCTAACTCTGCACTATGGTGCTTGTACACATTGGCCCTTAAACACTATTATTACTCCCTTGCTTACATTTTCACTCAATTTTCTCCAAGATGGTCTAGAAGCGACTTAAGAAGTTGTTCCTTTTGTATCCTTTAAAAAGCCTACCCTGAAACCTTGTAGGTAAAATATTCATTTTTAATGTATGGGGGGAAAGGGAAGGGAGAGAAGGAGGATGGAAGGGAGGGAGGAGGAAGGGAGGGAAGTGCTGGGAGGGAAGGAAGAAAAAATAAAAAGAAGAAAAGGGAATGAAAGAAAAGGAGTGAGAGAAAAGAAGACAGAGGAGGGGAGGGAAGGGGAATGGGAAAATGTTGAGAATGTGTGTATGGGGGGTGTCTCACATTAATGTCTAGAAAGGGGAAGGGAGAAGGGATGGGGAAGGGAAAAGGGAAGGGGGAAAAAAGGAAATATTCAGTTTCAACATATTAGACTTTCCTTAGGTATTTCCTTGTAATATTCACTTTGGGGGCTACAAAGTTGAATAAAACATAATTCCTGTTTTCTCAGAATTTGTAATCTCCTCAAGAGACAAGATTATTCTTAAGTAAGAAAGTCTTAAGTTAAAATAAAAATACAAAATGATGCCAAAACCGGTTTGGCTCAGTGGTAGAGCATCAGTCTGTGGACTGAAAGGTCCCAGGTTCGATTCCGGTCAAGGGCATGTACATTGGTTGCGGGCACATCCCCGGTAGGGGGTGTGCAAGAGGCAGCTGGTCGATGTTTCTCTCTCATCGACATTTCTAGCTCTCTATCTCTCTCGCCTCCTCTCTGTAAAAAATCAATAAAATATATTTTAAAAAAATACAAAATGATGTTGGGGCCAGAGAGCAGAGTTAAAACACTGGGAGAATAAAGGAAAACATTATGAAAGAGGTGGTTTCTGAGACTGGCATGTAAGGAAACAAAGGCAAAAAAAAAAAAAAAAAAGATTTCCCACCCTCCCAATAATCCAAGGAAGGCATTCCAAAGGGATAGCAGTGCAAACATGGAATGAATTAGTGAACTGATAAATGAATGAATCAGTAAATCCAGTCAGCAGGCCAACCAGAATCCTCCTACACATACATGTTTGAGAGAATGATAGACTGGGTATGTGAAGTTGAACCCTGGGAGGAGCTCCAGATTTATGGTCTTGAATATTATACACAAAGACTCTTAGACTCGGGGCACAACCTATACCCAAGACACTGCTTTCTGAGGACTTATAATTATTTTGGCTCTCCTCCCTCCCCTACTATAGCAACAATTAAAGTTGGAAAATTAAGATGATTAAAATAAGACAAAAATTTTACTTTTATTATATTTATACTAGAGGCCAGGTGCACAAATTTGTGCACAGGAGGTGTCCCTTGGCCTGGCCGGCAATTGGAGTCATGGGAGGTTGGCCAGCCAGGGGGAGAAGTCATGGGATGTTGGCTGTGGGAGCGCACTGACCACCAGGGGGCAGCTCCTGCACTGAGAGTCTGCCCCCTGGAGGTCAGTGTGTGTCACACCGACCAGTTGATTGGTCGTTCAGTCATTCAGTTGTTCGGTCACTTAGGCTTTTATATATATAGATGCCACTCCCAACTATATGTTATGTAAAATTATTTAAATCTAAATTTAATGGTCATTTCTACTCCCCCTACCCCACAGAACAAAATAATCTCAACTCCATAACCATTTCCCCAATTTTTATTAACCTTTAAAAACTAAACTCATTTTTTTCTAAATATATAGAACCACAACATAGACACAGAATATTAGTCTTGTTTAAATAAGACTCTAGCTGGGACCGGTTTGGCTCAGTGGATAGAGCGTCGGCTTGGGGACTGAAGGGTCCCGGGTTCGATTCCGGTCAAGGGCATGTACCTTGGTTGCGGGCATATCCCCAGTAGGGTGTGTGCAAGAGGCAGCTGATCGATGACTCTCTCTCATTGATGTTTCTAACTCTCTATCTCTCTCCCTTCCTCTCTGTACAAAATCAATAAAATATATTTTTTTAAAAATAATAAATAAATAAATAAATAAATAAGACTCTTTAAAATGAGGACTGGATAGAGAAACAACCCAATTGCCCAACTGTGCTTTTTTTTTTTTTAAATAATGAATATCTTTCCAGAAATTAATCTTTTCCTTCAACTACCTATTTTAATATCATTACACAGTGATAAAAATAAGAAAATGACTTCTTGTTTGTACTAATTTTAAGAGGATGCTACTAAAATAGTAATATAGATTTTTTTTACATAGAGCAAGTCCACAGTACAGAGTGGAGTGTGAAAAGATGCATGATATTGTCACATTGTGAGAATGTTGAGAATGTGTGTATGAGGGAGTGTCTCACAGTAATGTCTAGAAAAATGTTCACTTAAATATTGAGCACTTATCACTGGGAAGTGGAATTTGGGATTATTGTAACTTCCTTTTTTATACTCCACCAAAATGCTTAAAATCTTCAAAGTGAGCCTATTCATTAAATAGAAGAAGAGAAACTTCAACTGTATCAGTTAAGGTTATTTGTCAAAAATATGTATATACTTGGAATATTTCATAATTTAAAACAAAACTGAAAAAAAATAGGATGACTTATACATGCATAAAAATAAAGTAGAGGTGGTAAATGTTAAAACTAATTATCTCTGGCTCATGATTTTTTTTCCCACTTTTCTATTTATAGTTTCCTAATTTTTCACAACAAACACATTTTTATTTTATAAAAGCTCTTATGACTAAATTTAAAACTCAGTAAATTTGTAGGTTTTAAAAATTCTTTAAAAGGGGAAATTTAAACTTTTCAAGTCAGAATTTCTCAGGAAGTTTTTCTGATCACTTTGAGTACATTGCCAAATATCTCTTAAAACATTTTTTAAAGTTAACATCAATGCAAAATTCTTCTTGCAGTTGTTCTTGCTGAAGTTCCTTTAACCCGATGTTAAAATAACACATTTAATTTCTAAAGTGGTACTAATTTAATTCATATTTGTATGTTATAATTAGAATCCTTGGAAGACAATGTTGGTATTCATCCAACCTGAGGATACAGAAAATGGCCCCAAGGAAGTGAACAGCCAAACCACCTCAAGTCATCTGGTCTCGGTCTCTCTCTCCCTCTCTCTCTCTCTCTCTCTCTCTCTCTCTCTCTCTCTCTCTCTCTCTCTCTCTCTCTCTCTCCATTTTAAAGAGATCTACACCAAGACTCCACAATTGCCCTCAGCAACAGGCAAGACCTGAAGGCCAAAATGTTCCCATTTAATCTAATAAAAATACCTCTATTTTGGTTAAAGTCCATTTGGTCCTTTATGAATGCAATAGTGTGCATTTTCTGAAGTAAAGACCTTGACTTACTTGAAAATGGTAAATTTTCCCTTTCCTTTTCTTCCCTTCCTTAGAGACTTGTTTTTAAATTTTTTTTTTTTTTTTTTTTTTTTTTTTTTGCCTTTACCCATTGACAAGAAGAAACCTGAAACTTCTTAGTCACTTCATTATGCTTTCTAAATACCTCAATAGCAGCTCCATTGTCCAGCCTGATGTGAGGAACTTTTACTTCTGAAACGTTGCCCCGACCCCACTGTTGTTGAGATGTCTTTCTCTCTATATTTGAGGATCTTGAGGGCTTTGCCCAAAAAGGAATTATTAAAAAAAAAAAAAAAAGTAATTAAGATATAACACACTTGTTGAGAAAGTAAGAACCTTAATTTAGATTATATGACAAATGTTTAATGTGTGCCATGATATTTATTGCATACAATATAATTCACTGTCTTTTTCAAATTCAAAGCCCTATACAATGTATTGGCTCATTAGGCTAAAAGAGACCTTAAGAAGTCACTCAATCTAATCTCCTAAATCCAAGCAAGTGTACATTATAACCTGCATGGCAGATAAATCATAACTTAATGATTCTTTGAAATCATGAGAAGGCAACTCCACAGCTTTCTCAATCATTCTTGTTTCAAAACATATCACCTCAAATAGGTTACACATAAAAAAAATTATTGGCCAGATATTCACAAAATATGCTTTGAATGAAAATAACATATTAACAGCTCACTCAGTAACAACTAATTCAGAGACACCTATATGGCAATAATTATACTGCCATACAAATCAGGAAAGAACAGTTTAAAGAGAGAATTTGAAAAAGGTTCAACTTCAAGGACTGAGAACCTAACTTTTCTTAAATGCACTGCTTTCTGTCTCCAAAGCTGTGCTATTTCAAGTAAAATCTTGCACACTGCTTCTTTTCTAGAAAGTTGAGTATACCCAAACCAGTCCAACTGGGTAGACATAGACTGTTGTAAATAATGCAAATTGATTTTGGAGAGTATGTTTGAGATTCCATCTAAATAACCAGAAACTGTCTTAAATAACTTCCCTATATTTAACTACAACCATAAGGGTCACTCTGCATTTTTTAAAAAGTATCCTTAAATTCAGATTTAATTCAACTTGAAAACCAATTTATTTCTATATAAGCCACTTTTAAAGATAAACTGGAACAACATTCCAAATTATTCATAATCCTGGGAAATAATTAATTTGGGCAGCGTTGGAAATATCATAAAAGAAAGTACTAACCAACTTTGCTCGCCCCTTATGTAAAAAAGTAATGTCTCTTTAATAGTTAAGAAGGCAGTAATTTAGCTGACAATAGCCCATGAATGAAGCTAGGGATGGGATTAGACATGGGATTTCGACTTGTGTTCCGAAATAGAATCTTTGATATTTACCACATTTTTTGTCAAGGCCTTATATTTAATAATTTGTTTTTTTCTGTCCAGTGAACTTGAAGAGTCTGGCTCACAAGAGCTTGATGTATCTGACGATTCCACCACTAATGCTGGAATAAACTTTGTTTTATTGGGACTGACAGGAGGTGCGCCTTTCTGAGAAGTAGATGAACAGTTGGGACACTCGGCGATTTTTTTTCCAAAGTCACTATCAGCCATTTTCTGAACTATGTAACAAAAGCAACTTGAAAAAAAGATGTTTCCACTCTTTGAGGGAAAGAATCAGACCAAAAAAAATGATAATAAGGTATGCTGATGGCCAAGTTTGTGACTTCCAATTGGTGAGGTCCTTATTTCAATGATGCACTAAACTTATATTCACACGAGAGCTGCAGAAAGAAAAGAAATCACAATTTAAAAAATTCTTATCTTACCACCCTCCTAGAAGTGAAAGGAAAAACTAGCAACTAGCACCAAAAGCATCCTGCCTCGCCCCAGCCAGTTTGGCTCAGTGGCTAGAGCATTGGCCTATAGAACAAAGGGTCCTAGATTCAATTGTGGTCAAGGGCACCGTGCACCTTGGTTCTTAGCTCTTCTCCACCCTGACTGGGGCTTGTGCAGGAGGCAACCAATCGATGTGTTTCTCTCTGTCTTTCCCTCTCTCTTCCACTCTAAAAGATCAGTGGAAAATATCTTCTGGTGAGGGTTAACCAAAATATTTTTTTTCAAAAAGCAAACATATTGCCTATAAATGAAAAGTTAATATTTACAACAAAATTAGGACATATTTCTAAAAAGCAATGTATTCTCATCTTTCGAAATTGAATTCTTGAACTCTAGAAATTTTATTTGTTTTACCATCAAAAGAACTATAAAACTGCTGAAAAGCATAATCTAAGCAAGTCAATTAGGTGGGTTGATATAAATTTTTAAATGAAATAAAACAGATATCAGAGTATTTTTCATAGATCCTTGGTAAGTTTTGTGAAAAATTTATTATAATCAGATATATACTGTATATAAAATGTTTGTGTGTACCTGGTCACTTTATAAAATGTATTTCTTAATATAACTTTGGTTTTAAAAAAAGGCTTAAAAGTTGGTATTAAACATTCATTACCATGATTTTAAAATTTAAACCTTTGTCTAATAATTATTAGAGAAAATACATATTATACACATCACAAAGAAGTAGATAATTTGATTTTATAAAATAATCTTAATTATAAAAGTTCAAAGGCAATATTAGAAGTATCCTCATTTTTATACTCAAGTAACAAAAATAGGAAATAATGGGTGCTATTTTCCCTGAGTGCATAATATGTGTGCCCAGCAATCTACCTAACTAAAGCTACTGGCAATAATACAGTGCCAAGTGGAAAAGATCTAAGCTAAGGAAGAAGGGAGGAAAGTGTTCTGTGGTACATGTGAGAGAAATTTCCAGAAGTGACTGGGAATACATTATTATAGTCTTGTGCCATACTATTTCAGATATTATTTAAAAATATACAGGGTTGGACAAAAGTAGGTCTACAGTTGTTCATATAAAAAATAATACAATAATTAATGAATAATAATACAAGAATAAAGTGAGTTTTGCATACTCACAACTGGAAACCTACTTTTGCCCCACTCTGTATTTTGTGGTCACAGGTTTCTGTTGAAAACAAGGTCAAACATATGTAAGAGGAGATGTGTATGTGGTGGTATTTATGTTAGTTCGGTGATGTCGCGTTATGAGGTGGCGTTGGGGATGGGGTTAGTTTGCGTGTGCTTTTTCCTTCATTCCTTCTGCTTCCTTCCTTCTTCCTTCCTCGTTCCTGTCCTTACCTTTTCCGTTTCCTTTTCTTCATTCCTTTCCTTCCTTCCTTCCTTCCTTCCTTCCTTCCTTCCTTCCTTTTCTTTTTCTTTCTTTCTTCTTTCTTCTTCTTTCTTTCTTTCTTTCTTTCTTTCTTTCTTTCTTTCTTCTTCTTTCTTTTTCCTTCTTCCTTCCTTCCTTCCTTCCTTCCTTCCTTCCTTCCTTCCTTCCTTCCTTCCTTCCTTCCTTCTTTCTTTCTTTCTTTCTTTCTTTCTTTCTTTCTTTCTTTCTTGTCAACCAGGATTAGAAAAGTTATATTTTCTCAGTAAAGCAATATCAAGATGAAGAAAATGAAATTGCACTCATGGGAAAAAACGAACCTCACATTATTATGCCACCTTTGGAAAACTCATTGAAAATTGTAAAGCTGAGTATTTATAAAAGCTATTGGGACTTCACAATAATTGCTTGTTATTTAAAGTTGAAATTTATTCCAAAGAGCATTAAATCAAAATTATAATTCACATTTAGATAGCACATTATATATAACAAAGCTTTTTATTTATTTACTTATTTTTCAATTACACTTGACATACAATATTATATTGGTTTCAGGTGCACAACATTATGATTAGACATTTATATACCTCCAATAAGTGCTCACTCCAATAAGTCTAGTACCCATATGACCATATATAGTTATTACACTATTATTGACTATACCAGAGACCTGGTGCACGAATTTGTGGGGTTGATCTGAGCCAGAGCCTATTGGGGCCAGCCAGGGTGAGGGCAGCGATCGGGGCCTCCAACAGACCGGATGGCCACCTCAGTGAGCGTCATAGTGACTGGTCATTCTGGTGGCTTGGTTTTTATATATATATATATAATATACTAGTATAAAGATTCCCTATGCTGTACTTTTTACATCTCTGTGACTATTTTTATTACTCCTTAAATCCCTTTAACCTTTTTCACCCATCTCCCATTCCTTCTTCCATTTGACAACCATCAAAATGTTCTCTGTATCTATGATGTTTTTGTTTTGTTTATTTTGGTGTGTTTTTTTGTTTGTTTTTGTTTTTGTTTTTAGATTCCACATATAAATGAAGTCATATGGTATCTGTCTTCTTGCCTGACTCATTTCATTTAGAATTATACCCTCTAGGTTCATCCATGTTGTCTCAAATGGCAAGATTTCCTTCTTTCTATGGCTAAGTAATATTCCATTGTACATATGTACCACATGAAAGAAACTATCTTTACCTCATGGTATATTCTTGCCTCTTGTCATAGATTGACCATATAGGCATGGGTTTATTTCTGACTCTCTATTCCATTCCATTGATCCATATGTCTATTCTTATGCTAATACCATGCTGTTAAGATTACCACAGCTACTCATAGTATAGTTTAACATAAGGTAGTGTGATGCCTCCAACTCTGTTCTTTGTCAAGATTGTTTGGGCCACCTAGGGATTTTTTTGTGTTTCCATATATACTTTTGGAATACTTTATTTTAGTTCTGTGAGAAATATCATTGGTATTTTTATAGGGGTTGCACTGAAAATGTAGACTGCTTATGGGCATTCTAACAATGTTTATTCTTCCTATCCATTAGCATGATATAAAACCCTTTTTACATATTATCTTCTTCGATTTCTTTCCTCAATGTCTTACAGTTTTCTGAATACAGGTCTTTTACCTCCTTGGTTAAATTTATTCCTACGTATTTTGTTTTTTTATTTTTTATGCAATTGTAAATGGGATCATTTTCTTAATTTCTCTTTCTGATAACTCATTACTGGCATATAAAAATGGAAATGATTTCTGAATATTAATTTTGTATCCTGCTACTTTACCATATTCACTTATTAGTTCTAATAGTTTTTTTGTGTGGAATCTTTAGGGTTCTCTCTATACAGTATCATGTCATCTGTAAATAATTCAATTTCTGTGCAACCCCTTAATATTTCATTTCTGCTGTGATCTTTCTTTTCTTCCTTCTATTCATTTTATGCTTTGTTTCTCTTTTCCTTGTTCCTTAGGTATAAGGTTAGATTTTTTTTGAGACTTCTCATTTCTTGAAGTAGGAATATATTGCTATGAATTTCCCTCTTCAAACTATATTGACTATGTCCCATAGATTTGGGGTCATTATTTAGCCTCCAGGTGTTTGTGGGGGTTTTCGTTCTCTTCTTGTAATTAATTTCTAGTTTTATACCATTATGATCAGAAATCTCTCTCTGGGACACAATTGTCAGGAGAACTGGTTTTCACAGCCAGATTATGGGGACTTCTCTTCTAGGCACTGATGCCCCAAGTTGGGGAACCAAATATGAGGCTGGGCCCCTCACTCCTCAGGAGGTATCTCTGGAGCCAAGATATCCCTCCATATTCTTAATCTCCACACTGGGAGTGTGGTACCTGCCCGTTCTGTATCACCACTCCTCCTACCAGTCTCAACTTGACTGCATTTTTACATCTTTAGTTAGAGTAATACTGTTCAGTTAGTTTTGAGGTGATTTTCAAAGATAGTTATTCTATAATTTAGTTGTAATTTTGATATGGTCATCGAAGAAAGCAAGCAGAGTTTACCTACTCTGCCATCTTGTCCAGAAGTCTTGACCTATATACCTTTCCAATGCTCATCATCATGAGTTTTAATCACACAGTAGAATAAAAGGCTGGGTATATTTGGACTGTACCTTTGTCCTTTGAACTGGAATTTAACCTGAAAAGAAGTTACATTGTCTTTATTTCATTAAATACCTTTCTAGTTATACTGTCTAAGACTGCTTTTCTAATAAGAAATGAGTGCTGACCTTTATAAAATTCTTATTTATTATGATTATCATATTTTTTCTTATTGAATCTTTGTATATGTTCCAGTGTTTCAAAGCTTTCCTAATATTACACTCTTTAATTTATAGTATGGACTCTACATGATCATTATGGATGATTCTTTTAATGTGCTGAAAAATTGACATGTTTGTATTTTGAGTTTTCATAGTTATATTCATAAGTTAAACTAATCTATAATTTTTCTTTTCAGCCCTTTTTATCGATTTTTATACAAGATTCTGGATAGTTTCATAAAAGAAATTGGATATCTTTCTACTTCACAATGCTTGGTAACAATCAGTATAGCATAGGAATCTGAAAGAAAATCTCCCATGTCCATCGTATTTTATGATATTGCTAGTAGTTTATCCAATATTTATTCTCCCATCCTTCCTTACTAACTGAATTCTGATTTTTTCTGGGGCAGCAATGTGCTCATTAAAATCTATTTATTTGTGCCTCCCTGGTAGCTTAGGGATGGTGACATGACTTATGGCCATGAACCTGACAGAATGCAAGCAAAGCTGTACTTCAAAGAAAATTTATACTTTTAAAACTTTATTAAAAAGAGGACAAAAGATTTAAGGAATAAAATTTAAGATGAACAGAAATGAAAATGAAATGTAGGTTTTATTGACTTCATATCTTACTTCTCAGTCTTCATATCTTACCATTCTCCCATTTACTCTAGATACACTAGTGACCTTGCTGCTCCTCAAACATGCCAAGCCCATGTCCTCTT